TTATAATAAGTATATTCACAAAAATCCTTGTATGAACTCTGCTTAAATTGGAAACATGTGGGTAATGGAATTATTAGGCGGACATGAAATTAGAAGTTATAGAATGTTTAGAATGGATAAGGATGTGTTTATGTCCCTATGTAATGACTTGCAATGTAACTACGGATTACAGGGATCAAGAAATATGTCTGCGTTTGAAATAGTCGGAATGTTTTTGTTCATTTTAGGTCAGGGTGCGAGAAATCGTTCAACACAAGAACGATTTCAACACTCTGGTGAAACAATTAGTAGATATTTTGAGTATGTTCTAGACATTGTTTGTCGTATGAGTATGGATGTTATAAAGCCTGATGATCCAGAGTTTAGTGGAGTGCCTCAAGAGATATTAGTGGATTGTAGATATATGCCTCATTTTAAGGTATTCTCTTAGTTCATAATATGCTTCCTTCCTTATTTAAAGTATTCACTTTAAACGTAGAACTTTCTTTTTTTTAGAACTATATTGGTGCAATAGATGGCGTACACGTTCCAGCTATAATACGACTAGAAGATCAAGTCCCATTTATTGGTAGAAAGCGTGTGCCAACCTAAAATGTGATGGTTGCCTGTGATTTGAATATGAAATTTACATATGCATATGCAAGTTGGGAAGGTAGTGCTCATGATACAAGAATATTCTTAGCAGCACTACGCCGTACAAGTTTGAAGTTCCCAAAACCACCAGAAGGTTAAAACCTCTTCTATATTCATGAGAATGCTGTTTTATAATGTACTAAGTCTTTTTGTTTGTATCTCAATAGGTAAATACTATTTAGTTGACGCGGGTTATCCACAATTAAAAGGATTTCTTGGACCTTATAGAGGAGAATGATACCATTTAGAACAATTTCGAATGGGTCATCGACCAACTGGTTATAAAGAGGTATTTAACCAAGCACATTCTTCTCTTCGAAGTGTCATTGAACGCACATTTGGTGTCTGGAAGAAAAAATAGAAAATTTTGAAAGACATGCCAAATTATGCGTTTGCAAAGCAAGTGAAAATAGTTATTGCTACAATGGCGCTCCATAACTACATTAGGAAGCATCATAAGCGTGATCTACATTTTCAAAGGGTCGAGGATAATCTAGATGATTTTGTTTATGAAGAGAATCAACCATATAACAATAATGTAGAAGAGAATGAAGCTTTACTATCACTGGAAATAGATGAAGTACGAGATCAAATTGCAGTAAGCTTAATGAATACGACTTAATTCTTTTCATTTGAGTTAAGTTTGTAGGTATATATGTGTGTATTTGTAGGACTTAAGTTTGTATTTGTAGGTATATACGTGGGGTGTGTGTATGGATATATATGTTTGTATTTACGTTTGTGTGTGGATATATATGTTTGTATTTACGTGTGTGTGTGTATTTTGTATTTGGTTCTTTGCCTATTGTACTAGCTTCCCGCGGTCACTGTGTTATGGTTGTCTCTCCGATATATCTTAATGGCACTGCTGCAGATAAGAAATTTACAAGTATTGTTGACACGGAATCTCGCATCAAGGTGCCTTACTTTGGAGGATAGCAAGAGGTCGCCTTCTTCCATGAGTATAGGGAAGGTGTCGATTGGGTAAGAAATCTGCAGGCTTCTTATAGAAGTAGTTTATTCATATAATGTAAGTCCTATTTGTTTCCTTTATCACGATGAGTACTTTTCCTCTTTGTTACAGGTGTTTGTGGACCATCTAGCATACCATAAGTAGTTTATTCTCATTTGGTTTTATAATTTCGGTTCACTTTGCTTTGCCTAGCATGTGAAGCCCATTGGTAAGTGTTTACAATTGGGGTTTTGGGGCTTCATTTGCTAGTGTATTTGCTGCCATTGCGTACTTGTCACTACGAATGAAAGGTTAGTCTTTACAATTGGTGAATTGAAGGTGAAAATTTGGTTTCATGGTATTGAGGTTTTGTTAAAATACTTAGGATTATGGTTGTGAATATTGAACGGGTATTTGCCTTTGTTGAGGACAGTGCATTTTATTTTTATAGGACTTGACTTTAAAATTACTAGCCCATTGCATGGGATACAGAATGCAAATGATACTAAAGGTAGTGAAAACAGAACTACTGACTATGACAAATCTGATGGAGACTTTCTTGATGTGGAGATGGGTTTGGAGTTGGAACCGGATGTTGTTAGTGAAAATGTTGCTTCAAGTATGTCAAAATTTCACATTTCTCAGCTAATGTGGTCATTGCTATGTTGTTTTATGCTACAATGGTTTCTAATTGGTCTTTTAACAAAATTCAGCATTTACAGAAAAGGTTGAACGTGTTATAATCCCCGTAGTTATGGATTCTACTGATGAGTGCGTAATTTATGCACTCATTCGTTACTCCTTTAGCTAGTTTTAGCGTGTTTTTCCTCAAGTAGTTATGTGGATTTGATGACTTTCCCTTGAGTGTGTAGGAAAGGGTGAAATCGCTGAGTTTTGAGGCATTTTTGGTAAAAAAGATAGAGAACGAGGCGATATGGCGCCTTCAGATGGCGATGCGACTCGAAAAGGAGCAAAATCGAGCAAACCTATGCGAAGGACCAGAGAGGGATGCGATATGTCACCTCCTTTGTGGAGTTATGTCGCCTCCTTTAGGCGATATGTCGCCTATTCTAGTGGATATGTCGCCTGATTTACCTGATTTTATTAGAAACACGCGTTTTGCCCTAGTTTGGTGCAGGGACTTTTATGGAAAGTGAGAATTAGCTTCTTGGGGATGTGTTGGACGTGGAATATAAGGAGGAGAGGCCAAAAACTGAAGGGAAGGAGGAGAAAAAGGGTTTGCAAAAGAAGAAAAACTGAATCGGAGAGGATTCGAGGGAAATTTCAGCGATTCTTCAAGAATTCCAAGCATTCTTCATTCTCTTCTTATCTTTCTTCTTGTATTTTTCTGAGTTTTGAATATTATTTTGAGATTGTGAACCACATGATGTGTGGCTAATTTTCTTATTTGTTAGGGTTTAGATGAATCTCTATTTGTGATTATTGTTTCGACGTTTTAATGTGCATTTAATTAAAGCTATTCGTTTCTTCCGTGTTCTATTTTGAATTATTGCTGCTAAATCTATGATTTACATATTGCCATGCTTTATGAGATTTTGAATTGGGCAGATTTTTATTTTGAGGATTAATACTTGAGAGGAGAACGTTCAAGCAATCAAGAAACGGATAGAACAACTTAGGTTGGTGTGAGATCGAGAGATAAACATTGCCTAGGTAACCGAAACAATTTTAGGTTGTGAAATTAAGAAGTGGAATTCCAGAAATTGTTTCGAGAGTGGAACTTAATGAAGGTAGGGATGAATAGTTGTATAGAGATATAGGCTTGATATCACCTACACATTCTTTATGCGGCACTCGAGAAAGAGTATAAGGATATACATTACTCTAGGTTCTTAAGAACGTTGAGTTAGGTTAGGCACATTACTACGGAGAAACATAATCGCAATAGAGTGAAGTCAAGACCCTAGCATTTTTATCATATTGATTTTCCGTTCTAATTTCAGCACGTATTATTAATTACTGTCATCTTTCCTTTTGATTTAGTTTTCCTTTATTTTAGTTTTTCTTTGAGTTTATCACATCCAAATTTGATCGCTTAGATAAAGTTAAGATATGATATTCACAATAGTTAGTTTATATTCTTAACGCCAATCCTCGTGGGACGATATCGGTCTTCGGACCACTTTATTACTTGTACGACTTGTGCACTTGCAAGCATAGTCAAATTATATTTGCAACAAGTTTTTGGCGCCGTTGTTGGGGATTGAACGACTAAGAATTAGATTACTATAGTGAAGAAATATCTTGTTTTAATATAAGTTTTTTTTTTATTTATCTATTTTTCTTTTGTTGTGTTCGTAGGTGCATGCAAAAAGCACGTGGCTCGGAACTCTTGCCTTTGGATTCAGAAATCGAATGAGCTGTTCGAGCATTAAGGAGAGAACGACGAGCTAGGGCTAAGAACATGGCCGAGGAACAAAACCAAGCAGACCAGCAACGGACGTTGCGAGATTATTTCAAGCCCGTAGTGAACGAGAATTATTCGGGCATCCAACGTCAACAAGTCAATGCCAACAACTTCGAGCTCAAGCCGGCCCTCGTCAACATGGTCCAGCAGAACCAATATGGAGGCTTGCCGCACGAGGATCCCAATATCCATTTGGCCACTTTTCTGGAGATTTGTGACACAGTGAAGATTAATGGAGTGAGTGTCGAGATCATCCGTTTGAAACTCTTCCCATTCTCCTTGCGATACCGGGCTCGGTCATGGCTTCAATCTTTACCATCAGGGAGTGTAGCCGCATAGGAGGACATGGCCCAAAAGTTCCTCATCAAATTCTTTCTGCCCTCCAAGACGTCTCAACTGAGGACCGAGATTACTCAATTTCAACAGTTTGAGTATGAACAATTATATGAGGCATGGGAACGGTTTAAAGAGATGCTCTGCAAGTGTCCTCAACACGGTATTGAGGATTGGTTCCAAGTTCAACTTTTCTACAATGGGCTTACTGGGCAAACTAAGGCTCATATTGATGCAGCGGCTGGTGGGACCATCTTGTCAAAGACACCCGGGGATGCACTCAATCTCTTTGAGGACATGGCAATGAATAGTTGTCAATGGCAAAACGAGCAGTCCCCTGTGAAGAGAGCAACAGGATTATGATGTGGATCAAACGACATCTCTCATGGCTCAAATGGCGCTCTTGACTACTCAAATCCAGGGACTTACCGCAGCCAATGCCAATGGTAATCAAGAAGTTGTAAAGATGGCACAAGCTTCAAGCTCAAGTGATTCATATGATGAGCTGTCACTTTGTCAACCGTAGCTACAATTTTAGGCCCAACAACAACTTACCGACATACTATCATCCCAGGCTCAAAAAACCATGAAAATTTCTCTTATGCCAACAACCGGAATGTTTTACAACCAACTCTGGAGTCGAGTAAACCGGCAATGGAAAAGCCTTCCTCATCACTTGAAGAGCTTTTGAAGACGTATATTGTGGACTCTAAGGCTCGTCTTGATCAACATGACGCTCATCTCAACAACATTCAAACTCACTACACCAATTTAGGAGGCACTATGAAGGCACTAGAAACACAAGTTGGCCAATTGGCTAATGCTATAAAAGGGCAATCATCAAGGTCCTTCCCAAGCAACACCGAGAAGAACCCAAGGGAGTGCAAGGCCATCACATTGAGGAGTGGTAAAGAGCTTGAAAGCCCGAGTGCTCAAAACGCCATGGTTGATGAGGAGCCTATCAAGAGCAACGATGATGGTAAGGACAAGTCAAAGGAGGAAAATCTGAAGGCGAAGAAGGAAGCACCGGTGGTTAGACCGGGTTCGATCACTTTTCTGGATAACCCACCTCGTATCACTCCCCCATTGCCATTCCCTCAACGGTTCCAGAAGAAGGCATTTGACGAGCAATTTGAGAAATTTCTTAATATCTTCAAGAGGATCCACATCAACATCCCCTTCGTGGACGCTCTAGAGCAAATGCCAAACTATGCCAAATTTTGGAGAGGTCACCCCTACAATTATCTCCTTGCAAATGGCGGATAGGTCCATTACCTACCCATGGGGAATCATTGAAGACGTATTGGTAAAGGTGGATAAGTTCATCTTCCCGGTTGATTTTGTAGTTTTGGACATGGAAGAAGATCAGGAAATCCCCATTATCCTTGGAAGGCTTTTCCTAGCTACCGGAAGGGCTTTAATAGATGTGCATAGTGGGAACTTGACTCTAAGGGTTAATGAGGAGAAAGCCATCTTCAACATCTTAAATCCTAAGAGGTCTCCGCAAGAAAAGCCGACATGCAACCGAGTGGAGGAATTGAAATCTTGTATCAAGGAGTTCACTCAAGAAGTTATGCCGAAAGACTCTTTGGGGAATGGTCCTACCAATTCCCTAACCATAAAAAAATTGAGCAATGAACATTGTCCCAAGAAAGATGATGCGGGGGAGTATATTGTTAAGAGGGCTGAAGCCATTGCCACCCCGATGAATAATGAAATGGTGGTGGCCAAGAAGAAAGCCAAGAAGAAGCATGACCAGCGAACCTCGTGGCAAGATCTCACTCTGGGCCAACGCGTCCTTCTTTTCAACTCTCAATTGAAGCTCTCCCCTGAAAAGGTGGAGTCAAGATTATCTGAAACATTTAAGATCAAGCGAGTGTTTTCATTCTGTACCATCGAGCTAGAACCAGGAGGATGAAGTCGTGTTCATGTCCAGCTAGGGACGTTAAATCAAGCGCTTCGTGGGAGGCAACCCACATATGATTTTTCGTTGATTCTGTGTCAAATGGGTTTCATTGTAAAAAAAAAAAAAAAAAAAAGAAAAAAAGAAAAAAAAAGCAAATAAGGAGAGGGAGACAGAATGACAGGTGATATGTCGCCTGTCAATAGGCGATATGTCGCCTGAAGGATTTTGACAGCCATATTAGTCTCCGGGAACCTCAGATGGCGAACCCGACGGTGGAATTGATGATGCTGGATGAGGTATGGCCGATAACACTTAGACCGGCCGTGAGGTATTGTTTTTCTTTCCTTTGCCCTTTGAGTTTTAACGCCGAACAGTGGAGACATTGTTCCTTTTAAGTTTGGGGGAGAGTATCATTTTCTTTTCTTTTGTTATCATCTCTACCTATTGATGTTCTTTTTGTAGGGTAGTTAGATTTCAATTTATTTTGATATTTGTACCGAACTGAGTGTTGTATTACATATGACTTTGGGCTTCGATGATGACTTCATGCTAAACCCTCTTCTTTCATTTAGTATGTGTCTCTATATCTTTGACTGTGTGCTTGATCTATCATGCTTGCTTTTGATGTTGTTATCTCTATTTCTAAGCACATGTCTATCTACCTTTCCTTATTTGATGTGTGGCTTTGTGTGCAATTTTGAGACTTTTTATCGCAATGAGAACGCTAGAACTTACCCAAAGGACTTGTCGAGGTGAAATTCTAGGTCTTTGTTGTGTTGATAGGATAGAGGCCCTCTTTGGACCGTTTGAGCCAAAAAGCTAACCCGAGCAACATATTATCCATAGAGTCCCT